GTGACTACTGAATGTTCCGAAGTTACGACACCGGCTACGGAAGCAACTTGCGATTGCCCTGGTGGTTATAAGGAAGGTGAATTAATACCGTTCCCWAACTACCCCGAGAATTGTGATAAATATTATGTATGTTCAAACGGAAAACTGGTGGAGAAGGAATGCGGCGAAGGAAATCGCTTCAATAGTACCTTAGGTGTTTGTCAACCTGATATCGAAAATGTATGTTCACGGATAGATTGTGATGCTCGAAGCTATAATGTAATTGCACGAAGAAATAGGCGAAGTGTGGACAAATCTCCGATTGACACATTCGATACTCCATTGTGTTTGGGTTTATACGCCAAGGGGGAGATAATAGGAGATTCTTCAAACTGTCGGAAGTATCAAATTTGTGTTGATGGTGAAATGATATCTGAAGATTGCGGCTTTGGAAATTATTTTAACTCAAATACTTTAACATGCAACATTGATACTCAGCAAGTTTGTATTGGCAATAATGACAATGCCAATGAATACGTTAGTACCAAAAAAAGTGAACAAATGACTGACAACGCCTCCAACATTGGGGTAAGAGATTGCAGCTGCCCTGGTGGTTACAAAGAGGGTGAATTGCTACCATTCCCCAACTATCCGGAAAATTGCGATAAATATTACATCTGCACCGACGGTAGGCTTCAAGAACGGGAGTGCGGAGAGGGCAATTATTTTGACAGTCAACTCGGTGTATGTGTACCTGATGTCAATAATAAATGTTGGCCAGCAGAAACGAATTGCACTTGTCCCGGTGGATATAAAGAAGGTGAATTGTTACCATTCCCCAACTATCCGGAAAATTGTGATAAATATTACATCTGCACCGACGGTAGGCTTCAAGAACGGGAGTGCGGAGAGGGCAATTATTTTGACAGTCAACTCGGAGTATGTGTACCTGATGTCGATAATAAATGTTGGCCAGCAGAAACGAATTGCACTTGTCCCGGTGGATATAAAGAGGGTGAATTGTTACCATTCCCTAACTATCCGGAAAATTGCGATAAGTATTACATCTGCACCGACGGTAGGCTTCAAGAACGGGAGTGCGGAGAGGGCAATTATTTTGACAGTCAACTCGGAGTATGTGTACCTGATTTCGATAATAAATGTTGGCCAGCAGAAACGAATTGCACTTGTCCCGGTGGATATAAAGAGGGTGAATTGTTACCATTCCCCAACTATCCGGAAAATTGCGATAAGTATTACATCTGCACCGACGGTAGGCTTCAAGAACGGGAGTGCGGAGAGGGCAATTATTTTGACAGTCATCTCGGAGTATGTGTACCTGATGTCGATAATACTTGCTGGCCAAATGTGTGCTATGGTCAAATTGACGGCACCTATGTACCTGATTCGAGAAATTGTACTTCATTTTATCTTTGTCAACACGGTAAAGGAGAGATATATAACTGTCCACCTGAGAAGTGGTTTAGCCCAGTTGATAAAATTTGTATGCCAGACTTTAATGCAACGTGCATAAATCCTTGTAAAGATACAACAGGAATTACATTCTTACCCAATCCCGATTGTTCTAAGTATTTTCTTTGTAATGACTGCAAACCATATGTTGAGACATGTYCCGAAGGTGGATTTGATATAACCTTGAATAAATGTCATGCAGATGCTGTTTGTGAAGCTACTTTGTGTGTAGGTAAAAGTGATGGAACAACATACCCTTTTGTAGGCAACGACACCAAATTCTATTTATGTATGGGGGGCGTAGCTCAGATAAGAAAATGTAAATGCGGACAAGTTTTCAATAAAGATGTGGGAGTTTGCTTGGAAGAGGCTAGCGTAAGTAGAGAAGAGCAATGTTGAGCATTTTTATTTACGTACTCGAAACATTTCTTGCTCGCCTTTCAGTCACAATGTAATCAAACCAAATGCCAGTCCACTAACCCAGAAGAGAATGCATTTGCACCCTTAACAAACACTGATAACTCCGCATTCTGTTTATGTCGAGGTGATTCAGCGTTCCTACATCACTGTGCAGATAATTACACTTTTCGAGCAGACCTCGGAATATGCTATTCGGTAAGAAAAATGATCTGATGATTCTGGTGCCCCACATGTCATGCTAAATATTTTTGTTTTCCTTTTAAGAATGCACCTTGTGATCCGGAGTTATGTGATTCCTTCCCAGAGAATACTCGCTCGCAAAATCGTAACAATTCACATAGTTTCTGTTTATGTGTCAGTAAGCAACAAGTTATTGTTGATTGCCCCAAGAATCAAACATACAATGCAGTCACCCAAACTTGCCAAGTGCTTGATGTTAGTGAAATACGTATTTAAAAGCATTTCAATTATTTGTAATAATAGTGAAATATATTACTACTCTTTTAATTTATATATATATAGGAAAGATGTTCTTCTACATTTTGCTTTATGGCTCCGGAGTATAGTACTTTTCCAGCATTGAATAATGATACAGATGGTTTCTGCGAATGCGTTAGTTCTGGCACTACATATAAGTTGTGCGGAAACAATAAGAAATACAATGCGGAAAAAGGAATATGCCTTCCAGAAATTGGGGATGATTGCAGTAGTTCACTTTGTTCAGGAAATGCTGGATTGATATTCGGTGCTGCCAGTGATCCTCACTCCTTCTGTTACTGTATCAACGATGGATTAGCAATTAAGCAGACTTGCCCAAATTCTGAGATATTCAATGATACTTTGTTAATATGTCAGGCGGTAAGATCTGCTACTTAATTTATGCCATAAATATTATAGTTAATTTTCCATTCCTCCTGGCATGTCTAATAGGTGGGTTGTGATGGCGAAATTTGTTTAACGAATCCATCCGGGCCATTTCCAGCTTTAAATGAACCATATGCTTTTTGTGTTTGTGGAAATTCAGATCCAAGCTCAGTAACGAAGCACGATTGTGCGAATGGAACTCGTTTCGATTCATACTACCTATTATGTAAAGAGGTATGAATTTGATGTCTAATGATAACAGGTTGGATGACTATTACTTTATAAAATATTCTTTATGTTTAGGATCCTTGCGACAAGAGCTTTTGTTCCAATTCATGCAATAATGGTATCCCATATCCAGCAAATAATTACCAATACGGATATTGCATGTGTAAGAGTGGAATACCCGAGTTGATTTCTTGTACTGACGGAAACCTGTTTAATCCTGTTTCCAGACAATGTGAATCCTCAAGCACTGTAAGTAGTTATTTCGAAATAATTATTCTGTATTTTTCTAGTAGAGGAACACAAACACTATATATGCATTTGGTTTTCGATTAACCAGGTGGAGTGCGATGTAGCTCAATGTGCTAATACGACATCAGAATATCCTTTTGCCATTGCAGCTAAAAACGATACACATGCATTTTGTTACTGCTTTTCTTCGACCGAAGTTGAATTCTTCTTGTGTCCAGATAATGCTTTATTTGACCCGATTAGCGAGATTTGTAATATAAGTTGTACAAAGAGTGCGAAATTATTAGAACTAAATCAAGGAATCTCCACCGTGAGCTGCCTGGGTACTTATGGCGAAGGGGAATACGTCCCACATCGTACTAACAATCAACTGTTCTATGTATGCTATAATGCAAAGCTTCTAGGGGGTGATTGTGGTGCAGGAAATATCTTTGACCAAGATAGTTTAACTTGTCAGCCTTTGGACAAAAGGGTTATGCACCAAAATAAAAATATAATGCGCACGGGAGAGATTCCAGAAAATAATGTAAGAACTCTGACGATTTTGAAAAATTACCTTAAAAAATTCCCATACTTCTAAAGTTGTCAATAAGGCTCGCCTCTTTAAAAACATGGTTGCTAAACACTACAATTTAAGCAAATATACTTGAAAATTAATAAAACACCGTACAGAAATTCCGCTTGCTTCATATTCATTAGATCTTTTAACTACACTTACGTAACTGTACGTACGCTCCAGTATGTAAATAAAAGTGCTGTTACATAACGATATTTTAAATTTGGCAGTTTTATTCCTGAACAATATAAAAATATACTTCCTAAAGGAAACAATATGATCATTAAACAAAACAATGTGAATATGCATACATAGATAGAAACATGAATTTTGAAAGCGGTGGGATCCTGATTAAAGGGACATGCGATGACAGAAGTAGTGACATTGAATAAATTGAAGCTTTCTGATGTGTTGTATGCTGCTGCGTTTTAAACTAGAAGCAAATCAATTTTTTCAGAGGCCAGTCTGTTTTGGGAAATCTTAAAAATCAGGATTTGTATTAACAAATATTTCTTCACCTTAGAAATGGTGTATTGAAAACGAAAAAAGATCCGTGCTATTCAACTGTTCGCAATATGAAGTATGCATAGACGGTGATTGGACTCGACTGAGCTGTCCTGATAGACAAATTTTCAGTAATGAAGAGCGTGCGTGTATTGAACTTCGCGATGACATGATCTGCATTTATGGTCGTGTTACAAGTTTTCCAAATTGTTCAATAGAGTTACATACAGTTCCGGGAAAGGATGCTAATTGCACACAATACTACCGCTGTAATCATGGTAAATGGCGCTTGAAGAATTGTCCGAAACAACATTTTTACTCAAAGCGTTTAAACACTTGCATACCAAGTTCGCACGACTATATTTGTATGGCTCAGAATGAACGGAACATTGACATTATACCGGTACAGGAGGTTGATTGTCGCCATATGGAAGTGCGTTATTATGAGTCTAATTGTGCAATGTACCTTATGTGTTTGGACGGTAAATGGTGGCATAATTACTGTCCACTTGGTATGTACTTTAACCGTATCTATAACTACTGCATGCCCGACTTGGATGGTTCTTGTTCTATTACTGCTCGGCCATTAATTTCTGTATATTCAGAAGAGAAACATTCTAAACAGTCTTGTATTTTACAAGGTGCCCTTAGGGAATCTGCTTTGGCTTGCGATCGCTATTATGTATGCCAAGAAAGTGTTTGGAAAATGAAAATTTGTCCGTCTCAGCAGTATTTCAACCTTACCGAAAGTATATGTTTACCCGATATAGAAAATGTTTGCTTGCAACGATATAAACCCACTTGCAGTGATGGCGAGAGGCGCGAGTTTCCATTTAATTGTACGTCCTATGAGCAATGCGATCACGGAGAATGGCAAAAACAGAGTTGCAAATTTTCTTTTATGTTTGATAACATTTTACAACAATGTGTGCCGAACAATGGAGAGTGTGGTGAGAATGGGTTGCGAAAAGTTTGCGGAACCGGAGTGGTTAAAGCTCATCCGTTATCTGATAATTGTACACAATTTTATTATTGTATTGATGGCATTTGGAAAGAGGGTTTTTGCTTAAAAGCTCACACCTATTCAGATGACTTAGGCAAGTGTGTGCCACATGCACCCTTTGATAAATGTCAACCCTTTATTGTGGAACAAAAATTAATGACCGATATGAACTTAGATTCAGATCAACCAACATTCGAAAATAATATAAACACTACCTGTCATGGGCGTGAAAATGGCAGTGCTGTACCACACCCAGAGAGCTGTTTACATTTTTTCGTTTGCCTTGGAGAGGTGCCAGTCATGATGCAAAAATGTATTCCCGGAGCATTTTTCGATGCAACACTCGGATACTGTCGTCCAAATAACGGTAGCTGCATAATGCCTCTTACAGGTGTATGTGCAAATTCCACGGACGGCGGTAATGTTGCACATCCCTACGATTGTCAGGCTTATTATGAATGTTCTACTTTGAATGGGACCGAATTACGCTATTGCCCCGAAGGCGAGTATTATCACAATACTACGGGTGAATGTCATATTGATCGAGGGGAGTGCCGTGCCAAATTTAAAGAGCACAGCAAATGTCAGCATGGAAAAAGTTTATCTCACGAACGTTATTGTAACATTTATTTTGCTTGTATACGTGGTTTGGCTATACCTGCGGTGTGCCCAGCTGGTAATTACTTTAACTCCACTGTTGGACATTGTGTATTTGATCCTAAAAATAACTGTGAGAATGGTAGCATATCAGAAATAACATACAACATCAATTCGGAAGACATGTGTAAAAACTTAAGTGATGGCAATCATTTGCCTGACATGACAGATTGTACGAAATATTACGTGTGTTTTGCTGGAATGGAATTAAGGAAACAATGTCCGTCGGGTGCGTACTTTGATACTGAACAACAGCTTTGTGTACCTGATGATGGTTCCTGCCCTTATGTCGTCAAAACAGAACCCAACTTATTGATTGCTCCACCAGAGCCTTCCGTATGTGAAGGAAAACATGGGGATATGTTGCCTGATCTGCTCAACTGTAATGAGTTTTATGTTTGCATTAATGGAAAGTTACGACACGAAAGATGTTATACGAACTATTACTTTAACTCATCGCTATTGCAATGTCAATCGTACACGAAAGCTATTGGCAATACAACAGAAGCTAATGCTGTCAGTGTAGATGCACACCAATTAAAATTAACACAGACACAATGTAAAAACAAGCCCTCAAATTATACTGACCTCTGCTTACAAATGCCAAAGGGATCTTCCATTGCAGAACCAGGTGATTGCCGACGGTACGTAAGTTGTAACGATGTCGACGGTCCTGTCTTTCAACGTTGTCGCAATGGTGAGAGCTATGATAGCTTGCTCGGTTTTTGTCGACAGAACGATGGCACATGTTTGCTGGAAAATGGACAACGAGTTGGTGAATGTAATGCTCGACACGGAGTGTTGGTAAGAGACGAAGACAACTGTCAAGCATATTTTGTGTGCATAAATGGCCAGAAAATCCCCGGCAGTTGCAAGAAAAACGAATATTTCGATAAAATGCAGACGTCTTGTATTCCCAATGAGAATAATCAGTGTGGCAAAGCTTTAAGTCAAGCTTACGCGATGAAAACAGCGGTGGTAAGTAGGTGTATCACAAACAGAAATTTCAATATTCTTCACAATAATATTATAAAATATATATTATTCTTGTTTAAAGTCTTGCCTTGGTCTCGGCGATTCCATATTTTATCCATATACGYTGGATAACTGCCGTTCGTACTTTCAATGTGTACAAGGAAAACCAGTTGTACATAAATGTGCCGACGGACTGTATTTCAACGCGTCAATAGCACGCTGCGTGAAGGATGTGGTAAGTTGTACTATGCCGGCAGTGGTAGCAAAGCGAGCGTTTGAAGAAATCCAGCATAGGGAACATGGGAGCTCTCAATAGATATGTACTATACATATATATCTATACCGAAACGAATGTCACTTACTACAAACTTGAATTTTTCCACAGTTATATGATACAAGTCATGGCAATACTAACGAACATTAGCGATCGTAAATATGATAGCAAAAGGTCTTGTGATAATCATATTATTTGCAAAATTTCATAAACGAAATTGCGTATGTAACTATTTAGAAACTTAAATTTTAGGCATTTTTCAAACTAAGATAAAAAAAAATTAAAAACCTTTTTAATGATATAATAATAATGACAAGAATATAAAAAAATCATTTGTAGCAGCTTTCCTTCAGGGCACGCATACGTCTCAGTTAAAACAAAACATGATACCACTAACAATGAATATGCTTGTATCTCTTTTTTAGGAAATAAATTTTGGTAAAAGTAATACATATATCATTCATATCCTGCAAAATATTTTACAATATATAACTACGAGTACAAACCCAAGTAGTTATTGTGAATCATTATGCTGTCCTRTCCACTAATTCTAAACCGTCAACAAAGCTGAGGTATTTTAGGAAACCCCTATTTAATTCAAGTCAAACCCATTCTGTTATGACGGAGACTGACTGTGGTCTAATTACACAAAAAAATCAATTTCGTAAAAATTGACGTTATGCTTTTTTGTCTAGTCCGTCATAAGTGTACATATGTATGTATATGTATGTGTCCTAACATGCATGTGTATGAACAGATAGGTAGAACTTAAAGCAAATTATGAATTGTATATACATTGAATAAATTCTAGCAAAGGCTTAGTTAAGCCGACAGGAAATGCAATAATGCGTATTGACCATTCGGTTTACTGACATTCAACGTCGCGTTGTCAATCGCAACGGTTGTGGCTAACAGACAAATTGGAAACGAGTAATGGCGCCATATACGTGATTCATTTAAATTCTTGTAATAATTAACAAGAATGGAGTACCGTTTGGGAAGAATAAATACTTTTTAAATTATTACAGTAAGCAAGAGGTTTATCTTGATACCAAAAAGGAAAAAAACCTATTTACAAATTCAAATACATACAAGTGATCAAGAGTATTCGAATACTCATGCTTAAGTTTATGGATTTATATCTGTATAATAACGGAATGATTGTCTCGTGTGCATAAAACTAATGAAAGCGGGAATGCATAAACTTGTGCTAGTGGGTCATAATTTATAATAATACATATGTAATTGCATTTACACACATGCATTACATATACTCTCAATATCTAGCAAAATATATATATTCACAACTGTATATACTATACATACATATGTATATTACTCAAGCTTATACACAACACATTTAATTTTCTTTGCGAGTATAAAAATGTATAAACAAAGCTCAGCAAACAACACAGTACTCAAATTAAGGGAATTGGGAAATAACTGAATCATGAAAGAAATTTTCACTTTAACAAATGTTTATCAAAGGCATATATCTATTTACACTTTTTGTTTAACAAGCCTTAACACTCTTCCAGGCGCTAATCGATCACAAATCGATTGAAATTGAGAACATGTGTCAGAAAACACATGCTTCCATCAATCTGACCGACTTTTTATTACAGATTTAAATCGAAATCCGTTTGGTATTGAAAACATTATTTCAGTTCACAACATTAATTTAACCAATAATATAAATAAGTGAAATTTATGTAACAAAAAAGGAAAAAAATTAAATAACAACATTGTACAGTGCCTATTATTATCAGTTCAAAATTTAAATTTATAAAATTTTATATAATGTATAAA